AGAATGTGCACATAGGGACTCTGGCTACTGAGCCTTGTTTATAAAGATAGACACCATAGTCAGAAGGGAGGATCCTGCACAGAGCTTCCAGAACTCTAAGCCCCCAAAAGAGCTAGAATCAACAAAATTATAAGGATAACTTCCAAAGTCCCATCCCTACTATCACTACGAAGCATATTTTAAGACTGATGTTCGGCCAGGAGCGGTGGCTCATGCCTGTAATCCTAGCACTTTGGGAGGCCAAGGTGGGTGGATCACCTGAGGTCAGGAGTTCAAGACCAACCTGGCCATCATGGTGAAACCCCATCTTTATTTTTAAGAAAAAAAAAAAAAAAAAAAAGACTGATGTTCAGAAAAAGTAAGAGAGAGGTACACTATTTGGTGGCAGTGCTTTCCTCTTCTTAGTTCTAAAGATTGACAATGAGAAGCATGGTGAAGGTTAGAAGCCCAGAGCCTGGAGCCAGAACAACCTGATTTCAAATGCTGATTCTGTAATCCATTAGCTGGCTTTCCTAGGATATTTATGTAACCTTTCTCACAAGGTTGTCATAAGATTTCTTAAGATAATCCAAGTAAAATATTAATAGGGTTCCTGGTACATTGTAAACTCTCAATAAGAGTAGCCATGGTTTTCTGTTTCTATTATTGTTAAATTGGAAAGGGTAGCATTACCATTGATCAGATGTATGAAGTTGCCTAAAGACATGTGGCTGATCTAGATGCATCATATTATAGCAGGTGCCATGAACAGCTGATCTGATAATAAGAACTAGATACCAGAGCCTTACTGAGAATAAGGCTAATACCATAGAAATAGAACTGAGAGGCTGAAAGAGAGACTGAAATGATGGCATGATTCATTTCAACCATGATAGAGACTGATTCCCTTTCTTACATGAGCAAATACATTTTTTTCTTTTTTTCTTTTTTATTTTTTTCTTCGATATTTTCAGCTGAAAGCAAATACATTTTTATTCCTCACCCCCATTTTGCCTAAGCCACTCTGAGCTAGGTTTCTGCCACTTGATTAAAACGAATGGTTTGTTATCCCTTAGGAAGGGAATCAGAGATCACTTGGAGTCAGCAGAGGTTAATTTAATAAAAATTGCTCAAGCCAGGAGCAGTGGCTAACATCTATAATCCCAGCACTTTGGGAGGCTGAGGCAGGCAGATCACGAGGTCAGGAGTTTGAGACCATCCTGGCCAATATAGTGAAACTACATCTCTACTAAAAATACAAAAATTAAGCAGGCGTGGTGGTGCGTGCCTGTAATGCCAGCTACTCAGGAGGCTGAGGTAGGAGAATCTCTTGAACCGGGGAGGCAGAGGTTTCAGTGAGCCAAGATCATGCCGTTGCACTCCAGCCTGGACGACAGAGAGAGACTCTGTCTCAAAAAAAATAAATAAATAAAAATAATGGTCATGCCAGACTTTTCTCATTCTTTTACTGACAGTCAACTAGATCACTAGATCAAAGGAATACTGTAGTCCAGTGTATCTAGACCAAGAAGGTGTTGCCAGTCTCTTGTGACATGCTTACACATGGAATAAGAGGCAGTGATGGAGGCTGGCATAGAGAGCAGTGATGGGACATGAATAAGGACTACAAACCGATAAAACTACTAACTTCAAAGAGTGTTGATCAGTGTCCACCTTTGGGCTCTGTTTTGTTTTATTAAAGATATCCATTAATTTGTGCTTTCCATCTCAAAAACCTTCTGGGTCTAAACCTCCACTATCTTTCTCCTGGACTGGTACAACAGCTTCCTGACTGGATCCACAGCATCAGAGCGGAGCGGTCTTTCAAAAACATAAAATTGGGCTGGGCTTGGTGGACCACATCTGTAATCCCAGCAATTTGGAAGGCCGAGGCAGACGAATCACCTGAGGTCGGGAGTTTTGAGACCAGCCTAGCCAACATGACAGAACCCCATTTTTACTAAAAATAAAAATAAAAATAAAATAGCCAGGCATGTTGGTGCACGACTGTAGTCCCAGTTTGGGAGGCTGAGGCAGGAGAATCGCTTGAGCCTGGGAGGCGGAAGTTGCAGTGAGCTGAGTCTCCATCTCAAAAGAAAAAAGAAAAATAGAAACATATGAAGAGTTCATAGCCAAATTACAAAAAACATTCTAACATTTCAGAAACTACTATGAAACAAAATACAGCCACAGAGCCAAGAAAGGAAGGAATTTTCCAAGTCACTGTGCTTACAGAAAAGGACTTCTCTGGGTTGAGAAATAAATGATTAGAAAGGAAGTGGAAAGAGAGCAACGGACATCCCCTCACCCTATACACATACAAACATACACATTCTGTCTCTCTTTTCTGGAGGAAAAAATCCCTTTTATAAATACATGGAAAGGAATGTAACCCACCAGACAGGTGGTATGTGCCTTAACCCAAATCACATAGCAGCTATTTGCCCTTAGCCATATTTCCCCAGCTCTATTTGGAAGGAGACAACACAGTATTTTTTGGTTTGTTTATTTGTTTGTTGTTTTTTTGTTTTTGAGACAGAATCTTGCTCTGTCGCCCAGACTGGAGTGTGGTGGCACGATCTCGGCTCACTGCAACCTTTGCCTCCCGGGTTCAAGCAATTCTTCTGCCTCAGCCTCCTGAGTAGCTGGGACTACAGGTGCACACCACCACGCCTGGCTAACTTTTGTATTTTTAGTAGAGATGGGGTTTCACCATGTTGGCCAGGCTGGTCTTGAACTCCTGACCTCATGATCCGCCTGCCTCAGCCTCCCGAAGTGGCTGATATTACAGGTGTGAGCCACCAAGCCTGGCCCTACACAGTATTTTATTTAAAAGCAGTTATTTGTATAGATGAGTGGGCCTGCCCAGGCTCTGTCCTCACAAGTTTGGATCCATAGATTTAAAGTTCTTAAGCTTTCCAGAATTAGGGAATTAAGAAAATAATAACAATAATTAGAATTATAAAATCCACTGGGCACAGTGGCTTATGCCTGTAAACCCAGCACATTGGCAGGCTGAGGTGGGAGGATCACTGGCATCCAGGAGTTCATGAGCAGCCTGGGCAACATAGCAAGACCCTGTCTCTACAAAAAGTAAAAAAAATAGCCAGGTGTGGTGGCATATGCCTGTAGTCCCAGCTACTCAGAAGGCTGAGGCAGGAGGATTGCTTGAAGCTGGGTGGTTGATTTCACCACTGCACTTAGCCTGGGCAGCAGAGCAACGAAACCCTGTCTCTAAATAAACAAACAAATAAATACATTCTTAAGCCTGTCAATAAACAAGCAATCGGCTTTGGACAGTCAAGCTCTACAAATGGCATTTTGCTTCTGTTATAGCACATGAAAACACACTCCCTACTTCATTAGTTAAATAAAAAGTCATTTATTTGATCTAGGGCAGAATCAGCCAAGTCACTGTTTACCACAGTAATCTGCTGATCCAAGAGGGATGTAAGCCAACGGCCAGCAACTCCTGTTCCCTGGCAGAAATTCAGCTGAAGCTCTATTGCTGGGCAAGAGTGGGTGCTGCCCAAGTCCCAGTTTATGTCCCTTCTCCTCTCATTTAAAAACAAACTCTATAGGTGCTGACTCTGTTTGAGAGAGGCAAGTGAAAGCCAATAAACAGTCCTTGTTACAGTATCTGGTAGTTTCTACTTTCAGCTTTTGACTTGGAGTCAATTATTGAGGGTAGTGCCTTGCTGCACCCTTATTTAGGATACCATCACAAAGGTATGTGGTGTGGTTTGTAAATCATAATAGGGCTGACTTTACTTTTTCATGTCTATAATTTTTTAAATTGTGTTTTATTTCAGATACAGCCCAATTTATTCCAAGTCATCACTCTTTCCCAACTAGCACAGCTTTGATTCACTGGGTTTTGTGTGTCATCTTTTTTTTTAAATTAATGCATAATAGATGTACATAGTTTCAGGGTACATGTGATAATTTAATATATTTATAAAGATCAAATCCGTGTACCTGGGATAGCTATCGCTTTAAATATTTGTCTTTTCTTTATGCTAGAACCATTCAAATTATTCTCTTCTAGCTATTTGGAAATATACAATAGATTATTATAAACTACAGTCACCCTATAATCATCAGCACTTTTATTGAGCAACTATTATGTCAGGCACTGGCCTTTACGCTCATTCTTAAGTCTGACAACATCCTGGAGGATGAAACAGACACTCTTATCTCCAGTCTACACATAAAACTGGGCCTTGAAGAGGTTAAACTATGCTTCCTGGATCACACAGCTAGCTGTCTGGAGGCACAGCAGGTACTCCTCCACCAGCTGCCTCCCTTCAAAAAACCAAAGAAAGTGCTCTGAAACCATGCTCGCTGCCTGAGTGCCGGCCTGCAGGCACTTCTTACAGCAGGAATTCGTGTCAAATCTCAAACTGCGCACAAGGCTTTGTGTGAACCCTTCTACAGGCAGTGGACACAGATCTTTAAGGGGTTGGGGATCCCTAGCAGTTTGAGAACCAGTGCCTTTACAGAAACAGGAAAAAAAAAAAAAAAAGAACCAGTGCCTTGGCAGGCTGTCTGCTTCCCCACTCCCCGCTGTAAGTTTCCGGCGTTCAGGAGCCCGCTGTTCTGACTTCTAGTCCCAGCTTTGGCACCACTTTTCTAAGGGCCCTTAGCCAAGTCACCTCACCTATGGATCACGGATTTCTGTTCTCTTTTTTCCCGGCCTTGACTGTCTATTCATAATTATATTTTTCTTGGCAAGGATTCTTTACCATTGTTTGTATTTTTCCATTGTTATAATGTATGGATGCTTACTAAAAGCTGTCTCAAATCCTACACGGAAGAAGGCAGAAACAGGAACAGAGAATAATAATTTTTTTCCAAGCCAGCTTAACTCCCGGCCTCAGTTTCCCACCTGTAAAACGACTAGGTCAGGCCACATGGATCAGGTAGCTTACATTCCCATAAGGCTCAAGACACAAAGCTAGGTACCAAGCAAGTTGGGACCCGAGAGGTCGCCGCATCCTGCCTTTCGCTGCTCCACCTACCTTTTCTGATCCTCCCAGCAGCTGTTTTCTGCACCCCTCCCGGGCCCCATCCTGCCTGACCAGGCCCCAATCGCCAGGCGGACTCACCCGCGTGCGCAAGGTGCCTGCGGGCGCTCAAGCACCGAGCCGGTAACCACGCTCCCCGCACCCGCGCCGCTCGGAGCGGCTGTGCCCACCGGGGGCACGGGCGGGCACGGCTGTGCCCACGCTGCTGTTTGCGTGCGTGCGCGCGCCGCGAAGGGATGGCTGGTCTCCAGCCTTTGTTAATTGTCTCTGGAGCCAGGTTGTTTTCTGTTCGCCGCTCCCGGAGTCAGCCCCGGCCCGCTTGGAACCTTGCCCTCGCTGGCAGCCAACCCGAAGCATTGCGGGCGGGGTTTAGCGAAATGCCGGGCCTCGATTTAATTCTGAGTGTTGGCTGCCGAGGAGCCCTTGGTTTTTGTTCCAGCTCTCCTGGGAGCCCTGCGCAACCTTAGCCAAATCGGCCAGTCTCTTCCATGACATAACGGCGTTGGTCCATTCTTTCACTCCACTGGGAGCAAGACACTCTTCTGGGCACTGAGAACTCAACAGTTAACACAATAGACAAGGTCCTGGCCTTCTTGAGCTTCTGTCCTAGACATTAAATCCACCAGTAAAAGTGATAATTGCTATGAAATGCATGGAAAGTTTCCTATCAGAGCAACCAAACCTTGTTTGTAGCTCCTGAAATGGACTAGATTAGCTTTTCTCATCTGCCAGTTCCCTTATTCTTATTTTCATTTTTAGGGCTTAATTTAGGGCTTACTATTACTACTCGTAGTAGCCCTATTGCTTACTAAGGGCCAGGCACTATGCTAAATGTTCTACTTGTGCTGTCTCAGTTATCTCATTCACAATTTCTCTAAGAAATAGGTATCATTATTATTATCCTCATGTTCAAGAGGGAGAAACTCAAGCTACAGAGGTGAAAATAACTTGTTTATGGTCACACAACTACTAAGTGACAGGGCCAGTATTCAAATTCAGACCATCTGAGCACTCAGGGTGCTTAACCACCACTCTACACCCATAAAAACATGAAGACCAGAATAGTGTCTTCTCTTGAATGTGCCAGATGAGGACAACTGAAGGGGAGAGGAGTGGTCTAGTGTGCAGAAGAGAAAAGCAAGGGAATTTGAGGTCTTTCCAAAAAAGTTGTCCTAGCTGGATGTGGTGGCTCATGCCTGTAATCCCAGCACTTTGGGAGGCCAAGGCAGGTGGATCACGAGGTCAGGAGTTTGAGACCAGCCTGACCAACAAGATGAAACCTTGTCTCTACTAAAAATACAAAAATTAGCTGGGCATGGTGGCAGGAGCCTATAATCCCAGCTACACAGGAGGCTGAGGCAGGAGGCTGAGGCAGGAGAATCGCTTGAACCTGGGAAGCAGAGGTTGCAGTGAGCTGAGATCGTCCACTGCACTCTAGCCTGGGCGACAGAGTGAGACTCTGTCCCAATAATAATAATAATAATAATAATAATAATATCAGTTGCCTGGAGAGAGTATCCTGTCACTAAAAGAAAGCATTCAAGCAGAGAAGCATATTAGAGATACTTCAAAGAAAAGTCAGGTCCAAGTTGAAAACTGATTGAGGTGATCTCTACGGTTCCCTTCAATTCTGATATTTCGTCTATTCTAACCTACTGATAAAGAAACTGAGTCCTGGCTGGGTGTGGTGACTCACGCCCGTAATCCCAGCACTTTGAGAGACTAAGGTAGGTGGATCACCTGAAGTCAGGAGTTTGAGACCAGCCTGACCAACATGGTGAAACCCCATCTCTACTAAAAATACAAAATTAGTTGAGCCGAGCATGGTGGCGCATGTCTGTAATCCCAGCTACTTAGGAGGCTGAGGCAGGAGAATTGCTTGAACCCGGGAGGCAGAGGTTACAGTGAGCTGAGATGGCACCATTGCATTCCAGCCTGGGCAACAAGAGCAAAATTCAGTCTCAATAAAAAGAAAGAAATTGAGGAAACTGAGTCCTAGAGTGGCGGAGTGGCTAAGTGGCCTGTCCAAAGTCAACTGGGAAGTGAAGTGCTGACCCCCAAAGCTGAGTCTGATCTACATCAGACTTCCTGATTGTTTCCAGATGAGGGTCTTGTGAGTGCTCAATACCTCAGTTCATGCTCCTGTAAAGTGTGTATGTGCCTGTCCAGTTTTTCCTGAGTGTGTGAGATCATCTGCTTTATAATTTTACTTTACACTTTTTTTTTTCAGAAGCATGTGATGGAATATTTTGTGCTTCTGATGTGTGCCCATCTTCCTTGCTTGTGTTGAGTATTCTGTGGCTTTAGATATGTGTCAACAGTTCCTGCAGTAATTGCTGTATTATAGGATACCAAGTATTTATTTGGCAATTTAAGGAGAACAAAATAAGCTGGATATTTTTCATTTGAAACTGATGTTTCCTCTAGTTATAGGCCTAGAAGCAAAGAGGAAAAAAAAAAAAAAGAAAGAAACTGATGTTTCGGCCGGGCATGGTGGCTCTCGCCTGTAATCCCAGCATTTTGGGAGTCCGAGACAGGCGGATCATGATGTCAAAAGATCGAGACCATCCTGGCCAACATGGTGAAACCCTGTCTCTACTGAAAATACAAAAATTAGCTGGGTGTGATGGCGCATGCCTGTAGTCCCAGTTACTCGGGAGGCTGAGGCAAGAGAATTGCTTGAACCCGGGAGGCAGAGGTTGCAGTGAGCCGAGATCACGCCACTGCACCTCAGCCTGGCGCCTGGCGACAGAACAAGGCTGTCTCAAAAAAAAAAAAAAGAAACTGATGTTTCCGTGATTCTGTTTTAGGAGTCAGTTTATTTTGAGTGAAATTTCTAATACATAGGCAATAATTCCACTATCTCTCATCCTAGTCACATGGATTTTGATAAGCAGCAATCTATTTGTTGACTTTAGAAGAGGCATTATTCTCTCAATCTCTAAAGAGCTATTTGCTTTTGACTGGAAACCTCTAACAAAGGAATCCATTTGATTTCTAGAACTTTTACAAAAAAATGGACATCACCTTGCCCCCAGTGACACTAACCCAAAGATAAAAGGGTTCCCTTTCACTTCTACCTTCAACAGAGTGATCCATTTTTAAATTTTATCTATTTCAAAAAGAAATTATATTTGCCAGTTCAGAATTAAAAAGTATACTGTCGGCCGGGTGCGGTGGCTCAAGCCTGTAATCCCAGCACTTTGGGAGGCCGAGGCGGGTGGATCACGAGGTCAAGAGATCGAGACCATCCTGGTCAACATGGTGAAACCCCATCTCTACTAAAAATACAAAGCATTAGCTGGGCATGGTGGTGCATGCCTGTAATCCCAGCTACTCAGGAGGCTGAGGCAGGAGAATTGCCTGAACCCAGGAGGCGGAGGTTGCGGTGAGCCGAGATCGCGCCATTGCACTCCAGCCTGGGTAACAAGAGCGAAACTCCATCTCAAAAAAAAAAAAAAAAAAAAAAGTAAACTGTCAGGGTTAGCTTATTGATCTTTGGATTCCTCTTATTGCCTGGCATAATGCCTTGTGCATAGTTAAGTGCTAAATAAGTGTTTGTTGAATGGGTGGAAGAGTGAATGTGAAAAAGTTGTAGGAGGCAAAGAAAGGTAGATTAGGGTGGGGCAGCAGACACTTGAGTCAAGAGACAACAGCTCCTTTCCCCAGTATTTCTTCTTTTGCCTGAGGTGTATGGGCCTTAAAGGGAGCACAGGCAGAACTCGCAGACCAGTTGCAAATTTAAGCATGACTTTATTAAGGGCTCTTTACTAAAATAAGCAGATTGGACTCTTTCAGGCTGCACATTACCTAAAGACTATGTGCTAGCCGGAGTCCTTGGTTGCAAGCAACAAAAGCTGATTCTGGTCAACCAAAGCAGAAAAGGAATTTCTTGAAAGAGTATTGGGGAGCTGAAAGAATCAGTAGAAAGGATAGAGAATTGGGCTAGGAATATAGACAGGCACCATGGGAGGCCAGGTGGCCATATCCACAGAGGAGACCACACCAGAGGAAGGATGCTTCTGCTGGACACTGGCAATGCCACTGGCCCTGCCATTCAGGTTCTGGCCCTGGGTACTGGATACCATAGATGACCTACCTGCCATTACTGTCACCAGATACCAAATGCCACCACCCCTGAAATTCACTAAAATTTACTGAATAAACTTTACACATTGCCTGCTGCTCTTCACTCTTTTTTTCCAGAATTATAATCAGAGAAAACTGATATCAAGGCCTTTTGGTTTCCATGAATGAGATCCAGGGCGCTGCTTTACACAATATCCTGTTTCCCAAATGCATAATGGTAACATGGAGGTTGGGTAACCAGGAAAATGACAAATATCCACACAGCAGTCATCTTCTAATAATTTGTAGGCCCCAGACTAAAAGAATTGAACAATATAATCTGTATGAAGTACTTAGTACAGCAACTGAGCTGAACTCTCAAAACCTGGAGACGTGGGTGTTGTATTTGTTTCTCAGCCTTTTACAATTTTAGGTAATCAGATAACTTCTTTTTTTTTTTTTTTTTTGAGATGGAGTTTCACTCTTGTTGTGCAGGCTGGAGTACAATGGTGCAATCTCGGCTCACCACAACCTCTGCCTCCTGAGTTCAAGCAATTCACCTACCTCAGCCTACCGAGTAGCTGGGATTACAGGCATGCGCCACCATACATGGCTAATTTTGTATTTTAAGTAGAGATGGAGTTTCACCGAGTTGGTCAGACTGGTCTCAAACTCTCGACCTCAGGTGATCTGCCCACCTGGCTTCCCAAAGTGCTGGGATTACAAGTGTGAGCCACTGCACCTGGCCTCAGAGAACTTCTTTTTTTTTTTTTTGAGACGGAGTTTCGCTCTTGCTACCCAGGCTGGAGTGCAATGGCGCGATCTCGGCTCACCGCAACCTCCGCCTCCCGGGTTCAGGCAATTCTCCTGCCTCAGCCTCCTGAGTAGCTGGGATTACAGGCACGCGCCACCATGCCCAGCTAATTTTTTGTATTTTTAGTAGAGACGGGGTTTCACCATGTTGACCAGGATGGTCTCGATCTCTTGACCTCGTGATCCACCCACCTCGGCCTCCCAAAGTGCTGGGATTACAGGCTTGAGCCACCGCGCCCGGCCCAGAGAACTTCTTTATATCACTAATACTTTCCTCCCATACCTTTTCTTTATCATTAGAATCACTTGCAGTTACAGAGGTAAGCAAAGGAAGGCTAAGAAGAAAGAGGTAAGTTTTGCCAAATGTGTACTTAGCACCACAATATGGGCAATGCTATGGGT